AGGTGTCCACTCCACAGCAAACCAGGGAGAAGTGTGGCCGCTTAAACCTCCAGTAGCCACCAGGTCCGGTGTCCTTTTCAGACTAAACTCATGTCCCCTTTCAGGGCTTGTCAGAACTAGCCCTGCATATCTTCCCAGCCCTGCGTTTTGGTTTTTCCCCGTCCAGTTACAGTCCTGCCACGCTGCACACTCCCCACACACGTGTGACGCAGGCCCTGCCCAGGCCTTTGCACGTCCCGTTCCGCTCGCCTAGGCTTCCCTCGGCTCTATGAACACGCCTGCTCCTCCTCAAAGCAGACTCACGAACCCCGTTCTCTGTGACCCCTCACAGCCCACCCCCGGGGCTCTCTGCAAGCCGCTGCCCCAGAAGGGTGGGAGCTCCTGGAGGGCAGGCAGGCTGGAGTCCAGTGTGGCCACAGGCTGGGACCCATCAAGCCCTCGTCTTCTTTACAGCCAGATCTCGGTGCTCACCGGAGGAAAGGCCAAGTGCTCCCAGTTCTGCACCACGGGCATGGATGGCGGCATGAGCATCTGGGACGTGAAGGTGAGGCCTGTCCCGCCGTGCCCCTTCCTCCCCCTCCCCACTGGAGAGCCCCCTTCATTCTTACAGAAGGGCACTCCTTTGGGACGAAGGGTGATGAGGGACACCCTCTCCGGCACCTCCCTTTAGGGCTGGGACAGGGGAGGGTAAGGTCCCTGCAGGTGGGGTGTGGCAGGACCACTGAGAACTAGCCTGTCCTGCTTGTCTCCTTCCAGAGTTTGGAATCAGCCTTGAAGGACCTCAAGATCAAATGACCTGTGAGAAATATGTTGCCCTCATCTCAACTGCTGGGGGGAGGGGGTCAGGGAGGCTAAGGGTTGCTTTGCTGAACGTTTCTAGGGTACCAGTTTGGGTCCCCATGGGGACTGCTCCATCCAGAGGGGAGGGGCGGGGTGGGAAGCTTTTCTTACCTATTGAAGGAACATGTGCCTTTTTCTTAAAGAAATGCTTTCATTTATTGTGGAAAACAAATGTTCCCAAAGCACGGTGCTGGTCATGAACTGCTTCAAAAACATGGAGGGAATAAAAAAGCAATCACAGACCTGGTCTCTGTGTCTGGGAGAAGTTCATTTTCACAAGGGCTCAGGTAGCTTATTTTTCCTTGTCAGCAAAATTGATCTTTAAACCCAAGGGCCTTCCCCTAAATGGTTCCTTTCCCTGCAGTCCAGCCAGGGGGCTGCCAGAAGCAGGTGTCCGTCCCGTCATTCAGTAGCCTGATTCCCAGACCAGCGGTTGCACATTTTAGCTGGTTCTGGGCTTTAATGGGAAAGTATTTCTCTACTCGATGCGGGCAGTTGATTTTTGACATATGCACATCATTTCCTGAGACAGTTTTTCCCCCATTCCTGTTTCACTCAGAGCGCCTATTTAACGTGCGCTTCTTAGTGTCCTATTCACGGTTTTTTCTTAGTCTAGTTGGGTAACATGATTTACATCAACAGATCAGAACTGTGAACTCCCCCTTACATTTGCATAAAAATGGTACCTCAAGATGCCTTCTCTCAAACTGTTCTAGGCCCGTCCCTCAGGAGAGCCTCCTCAGTCGCAAGAGGCCCACAGATCCTTTTTTAAATCACAATGAGACGGGCCACACAACTCCTCTTATTCTCTATGAAATGCAGTGCCAAGGTCCACCCAGCCAGTACCAGCCCTCTGCAAAGTGAGCTTCTGGGCCTGACTCAACTGTTGTCAGGCCCCGGAAGGCCAGGGAGATATTCACATACCTTTTTCTACAGCTCAGCTTGGGGCTGGAAACATGGCCCCAGGGTATCAGTGTTGTTCTGAGACCCCGAGGAACAGGCCCCCCCTTACTCTTAGAGAAAGATGAACGGCAAACAGGCTCTTGTTCGGCCACCAAGGCCTCAAGCAGAGGCTTCACAGTGTCAACCGTCTGCCCTCATTATAGACAAGTCTTGGCTTAAAGCTGACAGGCTCGGGGTGCCTGGGTGGCTCGGTCAGTTAAGCGTCAGACTCTTCATTTCTGACAGCGTAGAGCGTGTTAGCGATTCTTTCTTTCCCTCGCTCTCTGCCCCACCCCTGCTCAAGTGCTCTTTCTCACAAAACAAACACTAAAAAAACCCCCCCCAAAAACCCTGATAAGCTCAGTCATTTGCTTCTACCAAGAAAGAAAAGGCATTATGACACTGTAGGGTAGGACTGGCTCCTCAAAGGGTGGTCAAGGCTCCTGTGGCAGGTGGGAAGTCCCATCAGGGAAGGAGGGGATCTGGACCCTGTTCTGTGATGTGCACATCACCAGTGGACACCAGGACCACTGGCCGGGCTTGCTGGGCCTTCTGTGCTCTGTGCCATGTCCTACTGGATGCTGAGGACAGTGAAGGAGACAAGAAGCTCATAGTCTGGTGGGGGAGGTAGATGATGACAACCCAGTGTTTTTGGTAGGGGGAGAAGGTGGCAGAGAAAGAAAAGGAGGGGTTGGGGCTGAGGGAAGTTTCCAGGCAAGTAATAACATGCAAGGGCTGGGGGCAAGGGTTTGACCCTTCTAGGAGTCAGAGGACTGATAGGGCGCAGGACAGGGATGAGATGGGTGGGTAAGGCTGGGAAGGTCCCCAGAGACCAGCTTCTGGAGGCCCCTCGCATCCTGGGGAATCAGGCCACTAGAACTGGGCAGAGATCTGAGGTTGCTGCTGTTGTGTGGGTGTGAGATGATGTAGGAACAGCACAGGCCCTGGGGACCAAGAGGATGCAGGGGAGGAGGGACAGGGAGCAGCTGGGGTGACCTGGGTGAGTGGTGGAGGACACAACTGGGAGAATCCTAACACCCAAGAGTCACTGTGTCCCCACCTTGGAAGGCTTTGTTATTCCCATTTTAAGAGCATACTGAATACCAGAGAAAGAAGTTACCTCTTCAAAGTCTCACGGGCAGGAGGCAGCAGAGCCAGGATCCAAGCTCAGGTTTGACTTCCAAGCCTTGAGGGGCGTCTGCTGAAATGTACTTGATGTGTGTCCGGATCTCTAGCTGAACCAGGAAGGAAATGCCTCAAGCCAGAACTCTTGCCAGCATGTCACCCAGGCGTGCAGCTGAGATCTATACAACCTCTCATGGGCCTGCAGCCACCAGGGAAGTCCTCGCCTCCAGTCTCACACCAGGTCCAACAAGACAACAGTCCTGGGCACACCGGGAGCCTTGCTGGCCAAGCACGGCCTCTTCATGCCGGCCACTCCTGCAAATCAGCTTCCAGCACGTTAGAAGATACTTCCTTACCACCCCACGTGGCTCCAGTTCTGCTGGCTGGTGGCCCTTGGAGGCAATGACCATGCACTATCTGTGCACCGTGCCAAACAGCCACCACCTTCTTGTACCTTCCTCCATCTTGTCAGAAAACCTCATTTGCGTGGGACAGACCGAACCTGAGCTACGGCAGGACCTCCAGGGGAGGGGGAGGTGTTCTCGCAGGTCCCAGGGGCAGAGGGATTTTCTGCAGGCCAGGGTGAGCTGTAGACACTGGCGGCCGTGGTGTCCCTGCCGGGGGCTCCTGGGTCTGTTGACCTCTAGCACGGTCAAGCCCAGGGCGGCATGGTAGGAGTCCCTGGAAGTCAGGGGCCTGATTCCATCTCTGCCCACTAAATCCCTCTTTCTGACCTCAGACCAAACCCCTGCTTGGCACAAGTTACTGACCTCTCAGGATCGTACACAAAGGACACTGCTGTTCACAAGGCAGAGCGCCCCTCATGAAGGGGTGCAGGAGAAGGGACAGGCACAGTGGCCAATTCTGCAGGCAGCTCACGTGACCACGAAGTCTGTTTCCCTGCTGCCATCTCCACCACCCAGGGAGGTAAAGACGGGATGAGGTGATGCCTGGCAGTCACGTGGGTGCTGGGACACTTCCTTCCAGCACTCAAATCCTGAGACTGTTACCAGCAGGGGCACCTGGAGGGCAGGGCAGGGAGGCGCAGAGCTGCTGTCGGCCTGCTGAGGGCAGCAGACAGCACCCTGGCCACTCCAACTTAAGGTCCGCCATGGTCAGGTAAAGGGAGGGGAGGAGCTGGCTCTGTCCTGAGGTCTCTCCTAGCTCGGAGGCCCAGGGACAAGTCCCCACACACTGCTGGATGCTGCCTGAACCTTGCAGGGCAGACTGGCCTGACAGCAACACCATGCCCTGTTGGGTGAAAAGGGCCCAAGCACGGGGGCCCAAAAATGGATCACAGAACAAACGTTACGATAATGTCAAGTTTAATCTGCCAAATATACAAGTTGGACTTGTGGAGCATGTTCTGCCTGGGTGCTGCACAGTAAACAGAGGTTTCTTGAAATGATCAATGGGCAAGGTTAAGAATGGGCCCTGGCTCTGGCCAGAAGGGTGGGAATGGGGCGGGGAAGGGCGAAGGGGACTGGCTGGGGACAA